AGTTTAGACCCAGACACGGCTAGTGAGGTCAGGCTGAACAACCGGATATCTACATATCTATATATTGTATGCTAATTTTTCCTCAGAAAGAGAATGGTGCAAAGAAATCATAGACAGTCATTCATGTCCATGATACGTGTAAGTAAAAATCCAAACTCCACTCTATCTAATAAAGTGTTTTTATGTTCAGCACTTGGTTAGATTTATTTGTTTACATTCCAACACTGCTCTTCTTGCTTATCTCCCAGAACACCTGTGACAACATCCCTCCACGCATAAAGTCACCTCTTCACCCCCGCTAACTACCTAATGTTCTCCAGCTCTCTGTAAATACGGCATGGTGTTGCATAAGCAGGATCCCACAGACCTCCACTGTGTCATTAGTCATCAAGAAAGTAATTACAGCCCCATCTCTCTCATCGTGTCTGCCTTTGATGACGCATGTCAGGCCTGATTGTTACATCACATCATGACAGCTCTTGCTTCTGCAATAAACTTCTAAGAAGCCTAAGAAAGGGTTATTGGGGTTATTGTATTCCTATTTTGTATTTGATGTAAATACTTACTATTTCTTTCAAAACAGTTTGGACATGATTATGTGTATTAAGGATAACACTGTGAATGACAGTTAAAAGGATTTATGGTTTTGCATTTGGTTTTGAAAGAATCAACATTTCTTGAAGGTAAAAATGTTTTGGTTGGTTCTTACTTTTTGGACATTCATCTAAGGTTGAGATTAGTCCAAACAAACCATTTGCAGATTTGCATTTACATTATGCACAATAAACTGAGAAACGTGTATACATATTCCATTTTGCAGAAGTTCAAGGACTCCTTATACCTCGTAAACGGGGATTCAATACAATGTCTTATTTGCAGCAATTTAATTATTATTACTATGATTGGTGACTTAGACGACCTTTTGCAAAACTGATCACACACATAGGTGGCAACACCTGTGTGAAAGTATACCCTTAGGTCTGACTTTGTCCTGTGAGGAGCACTTTAGAGTTTTAGAACTTGTTTTGTGCTAAAGAAATGATGCGCTGTGTGCAGCAGTAAACATCAATCATGCTGAAAATAGACTTAATTGGTAGACAACGTAGTGAGTATGTTTAAACTACTGTTTATTTTCCATACCTGGGCTCCCTAAGATATCTAGTTTGATTATACAGGGCAGGCCTCTGGCATTTTTCAAATTCTTTATTCCATATTTAGTGGTGAGTCAAACAAAACAGATTTGGTGACAGTTAAGTTAGATACAGGCAATGTACATTGAGCGTGAAACAAAGGCAAACGGAAAATGTGTCATCACATTCAAAGAGGATGAAATGACCATAATATAAAAATGAAAATCCAAAGAATTGGGAGTTATAATGAAGTTAATAATCACCGTATGTGTGATGATGTCCGTGCAAAGTTTCGTTGAGATTGCATCTACCCGGCAAAAATAGAGTACATACAGACAAATATCACTATAGCATGTATATCATACATCATTATAGCAGTAACGTAGATCATTATAGTAAGATTTATATGTACATAAATATGAAGGATGTGTCAACACTTGGAAGTAAAGCCAAAATATGGCAGAAACATGCAGGACTGAAATCTACTAGGGAGACCTGCTGCCCGGCCCAAATGTGAGCACATACCTTGAACTTCGTAAATGGTAAATGGTAAATGGCCTGTATTTATATAGCGCCTTACTAGTCCCTAAGGACCCCAAAGCGCTTTACATATCCAGTCATCCACCTGCTAAAGCCCAACTGCTGCAGTCTTCGCTGTACTTTTATGTTGCTCACTGAACACTCATCACTGCTTATTAGCTAGCATAAACATCTAGTTAGCTAGCTACACATCAGCTAGGTGCTTTTAGCTGATGTGTAGCTTTGCCAGCTATTGTGTTAGCATTGACTTTATCGTGTGTTAAGCTTCATAAAAACAAAACTTTAAAAAAGGATGATTTTCACTAACAAACATGTCACTTTGTTGTTTAACCAACAACAATTGACACATTCAAGGCACAAAGATACTTAAAACTATACTTAAACAAAGTTAGTGGAAAAAGAGAGAAATTAAACTTAAAAAAAAAGTACTTAGATACTTGGAAACCTGAGAAGAAGGGGTTTATCACCTATGCTGAAACCAGCTGATCATTTGCTGTTACCTCTGGGGAGCTGTTCAGTAATTCATTTTTATGAACAATTTATGATTTTTTTAATGCTTTGGAGCATCACTTCTTATGCTTTCTTGATGTACAAGAAAGCATCACTTTCTTGTGCATTGCATTATGGAACAGCACAAATAGATGTGAACACAGACTGCTGGTAGCCAATTGTCTGAGGCCAACCGACCATCAGGGGTGTTAGAGACTAGATGAGTGTCTGAGCATAAATGCACTCATCACAAAGACATGTAGCGTCCTGATTTGATAGAGAGTAATTACTGATTAAATGGAGCAAAGATGCTTGAGACTAAATACCTGCTCTCAGCATGATAAGAAACACCAAACCACTCTTTATTCACTGGAATGTCTGCAATACCTGAGAGTCTGTGATTAAAATACTTCCAGCTAACAGCATTTGTAGAGACATTCTGAGATGAAAAAAAGAAAGAAACAGAATTCCTGCGCACTTCCTCGTTGTGCAGCTGCTGCTGGCCTGTGTGGCACATTCTGTCCTTATTTACAATGTGTCACTGGCCTTCCTCCCCATTCTGATGCTAGTGCGCGTGTTGACGCCTTTGGCATATGTGATGGTGCTTGTTGATAATAATGAAAAATGTGTGTTCACGGGGATTTGCTGTGTGTTAACGTACATTGTGATCTTAGGTTTTTTTCACTCGAGCGTCACACCAGGCCAATTAGTGTTGCCGTCGTCTTATCAGTGTGGAGATAATAAGATCATTAGCCTGCTGATCTTCACAATGAATGCAGTTGGGAGCACATAGTGTAACTGAACAGTTAGAGGGCAGTGTTATAGTACAGCCCTCTGACCTTGGCCTTTGAGAGACTTTTCCTCTTTCTCAGGTTAACGCAAGATGTTCTCTGTCTCTTTGCCAAGATACAGTATGCAGAATTATTGCTGATAGCGAGCACTTAAAACATCACACACAGAGAATGTACCGAACATTAAGTCTCTGCCTTGTCTCGGGGGACGGAGGCTGGAACTTCTAAATGCAGGTGACAAGGTAGAAAAACATAATAAATAAAAACATAATAAAAACAGTAATAATTTGTTCAAATTATTACTGTTTTTGTCCTGAATTTTACTATTATGTTTTTAAAATGTTCGAGAGCACTCAAGGACAGAAGAATCTGGACATTAAAGGGACATGATTTGCATATTTGTACCACAAGCGTCCACCTTGTGATGCAAAACAGCTCACTAAAATGCTTTTGAAGCATGTTTTTAATAGTATTTACAATTCCTGGATAGACCTCAAATTATTTTGCAGGTGGGGTAGAGTGATTTTCACATTTTAGATCCCCTTAATTTGGTCTGTTTCAGTCTTCCTGCAGTTAGTGAGGTGCTAACACATGACTTGTCCCCAGTGATAGCAGTTTAAATAAACATGAAAGCATTGATTTCCTCTGGGTAATAAAGCCTGTTTTTCTGCACTATATTGTCTTTATTTGATTGGAATTAGGGGCACAAGTAACAGATCCTGGTTGGTTCTGCAGGATAAGTGCAAAATGTAGATATTTGCATCAGTTATACTGAAGCGTCCCAGTCCCAGAGAGCATGACATCTCAGAATGACAAGATCAAATGGGAGATGTGAAGGACATTATTTTGGGCTGTGCTTTTTATCCCCCTTCCTTGTTTGAATGCATCTATTTATAAGGTGCCTACAGAAATATTAACATTATAAAATAGAAGAAACAGGGATAAATATTTGTGTTGATTTGTTTTTTATTACATTTTATATTTTTCACTGCAAAAGAGAAAAATGACAGTGACAATAAATATACATTCACAATAAAAAATACTCTAGATTGCAACGAAACATTCAAGTGTACTTAGCCTTTAGAAAATCTAGAAGATGTAAACATGACCTCCCCGAAACACTGCACCTCCTCACCCAAAGAGTCTCTCTCTTTCTCCCGTCTGTAAAGGTATAACGTCAACAAAACACATTTACGCATCTATGCGCGAGTCTCACAGAGTATGAAGCCACGTCACACATCGGGCTCTGATTGACGGAGCAAGCTAACATTCTCGAATGTCTGGTGGGAAACCTTTTTTTCTTTTTTTGGTAGTTTTAGCGGACTCGTGTCCAGTCTGTGTCCTTTACAAACGGAGCTTCACCGGAGCGCGCGGCGGCCTCGGCGTCTCCAAAACCTCCGGAGTCAGTTTGAGCGCTGCCGGCTGCTCTGACCAAAGGCCGGGCTCTTCTCCTTCAAACGTGTCATTAGAGTCTGAGCTTCAGTGTCCGCTTAACTGATCACGCACCTCTCTTTGTCTTTGCCGTGGCCGCCTCCGATGGCCTTTTCTTTAATGTACATGAGGTCGCTGTGCACGCTGGGTCTCCGGGCGCACGGGGTCACCACGCCGTACGCTTCCCCGATGTCCTTCAGCTTCTTGTTTTTCAGAGACTTTCTGTGCAGCATGTCACAGTACTGCACCGACACTTTCCTGTGAAGGTCGGGGCTCATTTCGTGAGGTAGCTTGGCCAGGGTAAACAGAGTCTGAAACATCTTATCCACGTTCTCGTTGCGCTTTGCGGAGATCTCGAAGTACGCGCACTTCTCGTCCCCGGCCACCAGCTGCTCGATTTCCTCCTGCTGAACCTCCCGGTGAAACTCTCTGTCACCCTTGTTCCCGCAGATCACGAGAGGGACGTCGATGTTCTCTTTGATCTTGTTTTTCAGGCACATTTTGGTCTCGTAGATCTGCCGCTTGAGCCGCTGCACCTCCTGGAAGGAGTCTCGGTTGTCCAAGCTGAAGACGAGGAGGAACACGTCACCTGAAAGCAGAGAATATTATTTTGTTTAACCGCCTTTGCTTTTGTTTAAAGTGTTTTCATTTTCTCCCTGTGTGTATGCACAGTTACAATAAAGCACAGGAGGCTCTGCTGCACCCTGCAGCCACGCGCTAAAGCGCACGATGTGCGTTCTGACCGAGTTCGTGCAGAATTTAGAAAGCCCGCATTTGCTTTCTTAGTTTACATAAGGATTCTCTGGTATAAAAAAGGAGACTGATAGGAATGTGGATAAGTACCTGTCAGTATTGAAAGCCTCCTCATAGCAGGGAAAGGATGGTTTCCGGACGTATCCAGTATGTCCAGCTGGTAAACGTCCCCCTTGATGTTGTACACTTTCCTGTGAAAGTCCTCGATAGTCGGCGTGTACTGCTCGTCGAATCTCCCGTTCAGGAATCGGGACACGATTGCACTTTTGCCAACTTTGGTGGATCCAAGAATCACCATCCTGTAGCAGTTCTTTGCTGGGATGTCAAAATCGCTTTCGGAGGGCGACATCTTTTTGATCATGTTTAAACCCGGGGTTGGATGTGCACCGTTCGTCTCTGCGTAAAAGGCAGGTGAGCAGCCTTCTGTGTCTCGGTGCTCTCACTTGCGCTCTAGTGTGTTTCTGTCTAGAGGCTGAGCCATATTTATGCGCGAGGCTGACCCCACCTCTTGTCCGCGTCACAGCTCGGTGAGTACTCGGTGCCCAGTTGAGTGCAACGAAAAGCGGAGCAAACTCCCACCGGTGCGTTAGTCTGTCACTTCTAATTAAGATGGGGAGAGAGCGCCGGGAAACAGAACCAAACAGACCGTCCGAAAAACAGAACATTTGTAACAGTGCGGGGCAGGGCGGCGGGGTCTGTGCGTAACAGCCAAACTAAAAAAAAAACTTCCAGCACTATTACCGAGTTAATAATTGACGCTTTTTTCCGGCGTTTAAAACCCACTTTGGCACACTGTGTTAATAAACAGGCTGGACCTTAGACACCATTAAAGCAGACAGCGGATACAGGTTCCTCTAGACTGAGCAGAGCAGGTCATGTTGACTGGAACATCATCATCTAAGGAGAAAAGGGAAAAAAGAAAAACATGCTGAGCAATAATCTAAAGTCTCCACAGCTGTTTACCCACCGCTGTCTTTTGCAAACAAGGTCACATTCATTGATTTATTCATTCACATCTTCAGCAAGTCCAGCAGCTGCTGATTCATAATCACCATGCAGCAGCAGCTTGAACGGCTGATCGAGATGCTGCAGTTACTATGGAGACCGAAAGGGGGCACTCAGGGCACGACTTTCATCAAGGCGTCTGCCACGACTTACCTAAAAGGGAGAAGGGGGACAAAACTCAGCGTGGAGTGACTTTGCGTGTCTGTACGCATGTGTCAGGGTAAACGCAGTCTCCGTTTAGTTTCACAGCAGATGCAAAAAAAGGAATTCATCAAACCTTCGATGACTACACTCACTCACCTGTCACTGTGAAAGTGTGCAGTCGAGGTGGCAACAAAGATTTCTTCAGCGGTTCATAAAATTAGTAGTAAATAGTCGCAAAGTGGAAAGTGTGTATCTATGTTGGGAGGTGGGGTTTTATTGGGCAAAACAAGAGACGGCAGTTGATTTTAATATTAGCTCACTGCTTCATTGTGTCTCATCCCTTCAGGTGTGGGGAGTAACGCCCTGACTCGGTGACACAGATGTGGAAATGTGAGAACATCTGCTTGCACAGATATGAGATTCTTCTTCTTTTTCAGCTGCTCCATTTGGGGGTCACAACAACAGATGATCTTGCCTGCGCCTAAGTCTGTCCCTCTGCGTGTCCATGAACCTCCTCTTTGTGCAGCAGCTCTATCTCCAACGTCATCTGTCCACTATATCCACTATCCCTCCTCTGCACATGTCCAACATGTTCAAATCTCAGTCTTGCCTCTTTAAAAAAATGTTTTAAAAATGAAGCAGTGCATCCTCAGCTAATGTCAAAATGAGCAGCAGGGTTCCATCAGGAGTAGTGTGCTCCATCAAAGTAAGTCAGTGCACCACTGATGAACAGTGATTTCCCAACTTCATCCTCGATGGAAGGAAATAACAGCTGACTCATCACAGGCGTGAGGGATGTCCGGCTGGAAGCAGAGGGAGCCTGGACTTTTAGTTCCAGGGACAAGTATCTGTGAACTTTCCAACTAAGTAAAAGCTCATCCACCCCTTTTAGTTTTAGCTAATTTTGTGGTCAGATTTACAAAACAGTGATGGTGCAACCGAAGTAGATCTTTCCACCAAATGCTTTTCTCTACATAATAACAAATGCTGGATTTTGCTGTCAGATTTTTCCTGTGCACGGTGAAGAAAACTGGCTCAGCGTCTGCAGTTATGTTGTGCAGAGCCATTCTGTTGTGGTGAAGGAGAAGGCAAAGCTGTTGATTTACTGATCTGTGTGTGCTTTCACCCTCATCTATGGCCAGAGGCTGTATAGACTTAAAGAATGAGATTATGGGTATAAGGAGTGGAAATGGGCCTCCTTTGATGGGATGTCTGGCCTCAGTCTTAGAGACGGAGTGAGGAAGTGGGTCATTAGGCAGCACGTCTGACTGTTTGCTCCGCCACAGTTAAAGGCATCTGACCAGCAGGCACATCACCAGTGTGTGGGCACAGGGTGGGCCCGCCTCATTAATGAATCGATAATTACGATCAAGTAATGTAATGCAGCTGATTCTGAAAGGGCCAATCTAAATAATGACTTCTATGATTGGGCTTCTGCTTACATGTATGGGAGTCTGATAACACATATGTGACACAGAGGAATTTAATTGGTCCAAGGGTAGATGATGAATGACTGAGAAAGAGTGGGATCCTCCTGCTGCTGGATGTGCAAAGGAGGAACGCTCAGGAGTGCACTCCTGTGGTAACGTCTGCTACAAAGACCGTAATCGAGGAACCGAAAGGTCAGTGTTATAGGCTCATGTGACTAACATTAAGTGGCTCCTGTCTATCTGCTTTGTGGAAAACAAACAGATATGCAATACATTTAAAGAAAAGAGAGTGAAAGGCTAACAAGGCCAGTTAAACTGGAAAATCTGTGCAATCAAAATAGAAAAGTGGGAAAAGTACCATGGAAACAGATGCCCACAGACTGCGATCTGCTTCTCAAGCTTCCACATCGCTGGGAAGACAAACAACAGCACACAGGTACACAAGAGGAGCAGCAAAAAGAGGAAAAACATGCAGCTTACACACTAAACAAACACAATTATGATATTTCCATAACGCTCCATTTTATTTGTTTCAACCCACGGCACACGCAGCTTCTGATGCTTTCATAAATGCAGTGCATTCATTTGCATCTTCGTTGGACATTTATCTGAGAGTCGGGGTTGAAATTGGATGGAAATGTAGCTACTGACATTTGACAGCTATCACTTTTGCATTAAAGCCAAGCAATGAATCACCTTGGAGCCTGAATGAGAGATGAGCACATCCATTATGTGCTGATTGTGTTCAGCTAACAGAGTGTGACAGAGACACATTAAATCCTGAGGTCAAAGGAGCTTGCAAAGAAAAGCGTCTGGACTTCTTTAAGTTGCTTGAAGACGTTTCACCTCTCATCCGAGAAGCTTCTTCAGTTCTAAGGTCA